AAGGGGGTCTGTATACTTTCCGTACCCACTGTATATATATATATATATATATATATATATATATATATATATATATATATTAAATTCAAAATGTTTTATCCAAATACAAAAACGAAAATACCGAGATATAGCCTACCGTATTTCGCAAATCGGCCAAAAAATACCAAGATGTGAATTTTTGCCCATATCGCCCAGCCCTACAATAATGCATTGTATGGGTCAAAATTATCGATTTTTCTTTTATGTCAAAAATCATTAGGATATTATGATCATGTTCCATGAAGATATTTGGTCAATTTCCTACTGTAAATATATCAAAACTTAATTTTTGATTAGTAATATGCATTGCTAAGAACTTCATATGGACAACTTTAATGGCGATTTTCTCAACATTTTTTGCACCCTCAAATAGTTGCATCTCAGCCAAATATTGTCCTTACCTATCCTAACAAACCATACATCAAAGGAAAGCTTATTTATTCAGCTTTCAGATTATGTATAAATTTCAAATAATTCACCCTTGTGACTGGTTGCACTCCAGGGTCACAAATACCAATACATCTAAAAGCAAAAAGACATTTTTATCAAAAAGATCCAATATTATGCATGGTGCAAGTTATTTAATCATGAAGAATTATATATATATATATATATATATATATATATATATATATATATATATATTAAATTCAAAATGTTTTATCCAAATACAAAAACGAAAATACCGAGATATAGCCTACCGTATTTCGCAAATCGGCCAAAAAATACCAAGATGTGAATTTTTGCCCATATCGCCCAGCCCTACAATAATGCATTGTATGGGTCAAAATTATCGATTTTTCTTTTATGTCAAAAATCATTAGGATATTATGATCATGTTCCATGAAGATATTTGGTCAATTTCCTACTGTAAATATATCAAAACTTAATTTTTGATTAGTAATATGCATTGCTAAGAACTTCATATGGACAACTTTAATGGCGATTTTCTCAACATTTTTTGCACCCTCAAATAGTTGCATCTCAGCCAAATATTGTCCTTACCTATCCTAACAAACCATACATCAAAGGAAAGCTTATTTATTCAGCTTTCAGATTATGTATAAATTTCAAATAATTCACCCTTGTGACTGGTTGCACTCCAGGGTCACAAATACCAATACATCTAAAAGCAAAAAGACATTTTTATCAAAAAGATCCAATATTATGCATGGTGCAAGTTATTTAATCATGAAGAATATGGACACAATGTATCGACTGCAACCTTAGCACTTCACATCAATACGTGAATTATACTGAGATTTGCTGCCATGTGTAAAACTGGATTAAAAGTACAATAGATGTAATGAGATATTATAGCAGTACTAGGCCAAACATGGCCCAAGTTTGAGACTGGAACTCACCCAAAGTCCACGTTAGGTCTTCCTCAGTGTGGAAAAACAATCCGTCTTGTGCTCCGAGCAGGATGTGATGTCCGAAGCATGGCCGGGACAAGGCTTAGAGAGGCCCGCAGGTAAGCCTAGTGCACCATCTGGCCCAGACGGGATAAAGCCAGGCTAATCAGGCCTCTCCTCCAATCCCACACAACCTATAACACTTCCACACCCCGCTTTCCAGTTGTTACAATTTCCTGTTTTAAGTCACTGAAGTCTAAACCCCAAAATTGGAAGAAATATGGTTGAAGACAGGAAAGAGCCAATCAAAAGTTGAGACACCTACCCATTCTGTTTTATGCTCACATCAACATCAATTGTGAAATAAATGTGATATCAAAAATGTTTAACAAATCCAAACTATTAGACATTTTACCTTCAGAGTAGCTGAAACGGGTTGACATTTTTGTTGGACACTTGCTGGCTGCTCCAGTCTCCTCCAATTCACCTATTTTAAAGAAACGTGTAAAGCGATAACAGTAATAAAATAAAATACTTCAAACAAATACTATTTTATTTCATAAACATTATTTTTCTAAGTCAATTTCTATATTCAAATTCAGTACAGAAATTCTGTCAAGTATGTCACTTTTTTTCTGGTAGCATATGCATAATAATACGCAGGACAAAGGTGTTGCAATTGTAATTTCAGATGTATTTACTGATATGATTCACTACACAGAACAACAAACATTATTAAATACTGCTATGGAAACTGTTCATGTCTTTACAATCATATTTATCGACAGAAGGGGGGGAAATGTAGGAAAGAAAAAAACTAAATGTTGAACAAAATCCTGTATACCAATAAATTAAAAACATACCACCGACAACAAATAGCATGACCCTATATATATAGCTTGATATAGCTTGACTTAAGGCATACTCTACTTCAGTGTAGTAACAGAAAGTGAATTAGGCGTTACACAATGGCGTGTTTATCTTGAACCAAATAACCAAAGCAGAGACACAGGGGATGACAGACATCTTCATTCATCACTACACAGATCAGTCGGTCTTACGGCACGTCTGTAAAGTAGCATGACAGCTTAGAGATGGCAGGCTTAAGAGAACTTGCCATTAAATTCTCCATCTACTGTACATATCTACGGTAAGTCTACTGAACAGGCATTCTGTAGGTTAACTATTGCTACGCTAAGGGCTATACCACTGAAACATGGACATAAGTGGACATTTTCCCTTGTGGAATAAATGAACAATGGCATTGGCATTTGTGTAATGCTCATGCTGGTGTCAATGACACCACAACATACACAAAAATACTGAGTGAATGCACCTTTACATGGCAGTGTAGTATGAAATATTTGTCTGCATATTACTATAATGAATATGTAAGCATTAGGGATATGGGTTTGGGGAGTTGTTATGTTTTGTATCCATATGAGAAGCAGTAAAAAGAAAATATGTAATTGGCTAATGTCATCACACTGTTCTAAATGAGTTTTAAAATGATATACCGATCCACAATATTCAAAACAAAAACTTTGTCAATTCATACATCATGTTCAAAAGTTTGGGGTTGGTAAGATTTTTTAAATGTTGTTGAAAGAAGTCTCTAATGCTCACCAAGACTGCATTTATACAGTAAAAATATGAATACAATATAACAAAGAGTGAAAAATTTAAGGGGGTCTGAATACTTTCCGTACCCACTGTATATTTTAAAATGTAATTTATTCATATGCTGCAAATGTTGAAAACGGTAACTTTGTCAATTCATACATCATGTTCAAAAGTTTGGGGTTGGTAAGATTTTTTAAATGTTGTTGAAAGAAGTCTCTAATGCTCACCAAGACTGCATTTATACAGTAAAAATATGAATACTGTGAAATATTAATACAATTTAAAATAACTGTTTTCTATTTGAATATATATTTTAAAATGTAATTTATTCATATGCTGCAAATGTTGAAAACGGTGGAAGCTTGTTTCAACAACAGGATAAAAATAGTTAATAAGGTAATTGCGACTTTTTAATTACACAATTTAGCCTTTTTTTCTCGCTATTCTGATTTTTATTTTTTTTTAATTATGAGAGAGAAAAAACTGAATTGCAATAAAACTGTCTGAACTGTGTGATAAAAAGTTGCGATTAACTTTTTTCCATGGCAGAAAAAAGCTACCATAGTTGTGCTGTTTAATATTTCTGTGGAAACAATTGTATTTATTTTTTTTTTCATTTGAAATATAAATATTTTTACATTGTAAATGTCTTTGCCAATTTAATGCATTCTTGCTGAAAAAATTAAACCATTTTTTTTAAATCCTGACCTCAAACTACTTTTGAACAATAAAACAAAATATTAGATTACTATACTCTTCAATCTCTTCATACATTCTCTTAATTTGTCAAATAAAATGAAAACTGGAGTGTTACTAGGTTATGTGCTTGGTGCAATGGCATTTAATTACAGCTGGCAATGGCAACTGGGTGACGATGTACACGCAAGACAATAAGGTGCTCTTAAAGTTGCACAAAATAAACAACAGTTGCATGACAAAAAAGAAGACACAAATACTGTAGAGAACAGTACAACCTTCAAATCAATGCAAGGACCTTCATACTATGAGTGTTCAATGCTGCTTATCAGAAGTGATAGTGATTTGGCCACTGACTGAAACAGCTGAGATGAATTTATAAAGATGTTTGTAAGGAAAGGCATCAAATTGAAGCAAAACAGCAAACGCAGAGCATCCTGTTCCAGAGTACTACACTTAATGTCTCACAAAATGGTATTGCACTTTAAAATTACTATAAAGACGAGAGCACTAAAGTGTAAAATTGAATTTGAATGCAGGCCATTAGCATTTCATGCCTGTTCCATCTATAAAATAAAGAAACAACGCATTTTATGCATTTTGGCACAAACTAGATTAACTAAATGTATAGTATTTAATGACAGAGATTATGGGATATGTATCTGGCAGCTGCTATTACATCAACACAAGCTTTCTTCCCTTCCTAATAAATCGCAACAATTCTCAAAACAAAGAGTTCTCAAAAATGAAATGCACTGAATCAGAAAATTGTACCGAATTATCTTGTTTGTCCTATGTAGAGGTACATCTTTAGTTTATCTTGGAAAACTAACATTTAAGTGATTATAATTTCCTTAGTCTGTTGGGTTTGTGTGCAGCAACTCCTAATGATAAACACAAAAATATGTTCAAAAAAGTCTCTTAGTAAACACATCTTAACTATTCAATGAGATTTCCCAAGCTTGACTTAATTACATCTGCTGTCAGTTTCGTAGCAGATCGGTGTCTTCTGTATGGATATCTCAATTTAAGAGTATTCCCTTCGTTAGTGTTTGCTACAATGCTACTCATAATATATTAATATGTAAGTTTGCAATGAAAATGATCTGAGAAACAAATTCACCTGATCACTATACACTCCCTTTCATTAGAAAACAAGCACACTTGTCCTAATAACATCAGAAAGCGTCTAGAGCAGATATTCTAGAGCAGTCAATCCCAAAAAAGGGGGGAAAAAACTAAATGTTGATTTTGCTTTGATAAACCTATAAAACAGAATCTGAGTTATAAAATGAAATCATTAGGGCTGCCAAAAGATATTATTCTTTAAGCATTTTTTTTTAAAGTAAGTAGGCCTATTATATAAGTTAAAAGCAACACATTTCTCATTTGGTGTAAAGGGGCCCTTTCTGATGGACTGTGAGGATATTTAAGACAAAAAAGGTTGGGAAAACTGTTCTATAGAAGGATGAAATGTTCAGTTACTTGAGCAGCTGTATTTTAATAACTAACTAAACTAAAGAATAAAATTAAATTTAAAAAAATTAAACGTAAAAAATAAATAAAATATTTTAAAAAATTAAAATACTAAAATAAAATACAACATAAATAAATAAATAAAACGTAAAATAAAATAAAAATTCTAAGAATAAAATAAAATAATAAAATTTACTAAAACGTGTGTTGACAAACTAAATTATACAATAAAATGAAATATTTAAAAAAATAAAACAATGTAAAAAATACAATAAAATAAATATTTAGGCTACTGTAAAGTTGCTACTGAATTAGCTGTTAATTTAAATTGTGTACTGTAGAGACCAGTGTAAGTCTAACTTTATGCCGCCCGCAGTTGGAATCATCTTCCAGAAGAGATCAGATGAGCTAAAACATTAGCCACATTTAAATCTAGACTTAAAACTCATCTGTCTAGCTGTGCATTTATTGAATAAGCACTGTGCTACGTCCGAACTGATTGCACTGTATTTAATGTATAATCATTTCCTATTTTTAACTGTTTTAAATTCATTTTAAATCCATTTTTAAATCATTTGAAAAGTTTTTAAATTCCTTGTTTTATTGTTGTGATTATTTTTTATGATTATTTTACTTTCTTTTATGTAAAGCACTTTGAAGAATTACCATTGTGTATGAAATGTGCTATATAAATAAACTTGCCTTGCCTTGCCTTAATGAGACGGCAAAGGGTTCAAATAGTTAAGTGGCTTTATTTCAATGCATAAGTACCTGGTGCTTTAGACATCTTACCTCGGCTGAGGAATATCCAGATGATGAATATCTGGACATATCGAAGTCATCGTCACTAAAAGACAACAGGAAGTACACAGTCACAAACGGGCACCTTAATTTCAGACAAACAGCTACAGACCAATGAAATCAGCCCTTCTGCAGCAGTTCCGAGAAGAAATTACTCACTTAAAGACATAAAATAAAGTCTGCACACAGATCTATTGAGGTATTTCAAATATAGCCGCCTATAATGTTTCTAGTAATATTTACAAAAGAGACTAGTCACAGTAGAGCAAGAGAGAGAGAAAAATGCCAAGATGACATTTCAGCCAAATTAATTTATCAGGAAAAACCAACAGCGACAATCTGGAGCCTTCTGCTGATTGCTGCGGTAATTACAAGTTGTTTTAATGAAGCTACACTCTTAAAAATAAAGGTGCTTCAAAAGGTTCTTCAAGCGATGCCATAGAAGAACAATATTTGGTTCCACAAAGAACCATTCAGTCAAAGGTTCTTTAAAGAACCATCTCTTTCTTACCTTTTTGTAATCT